TGGGAGGCATTGTTCCTCCCCGGAGGAGACAACTGATTTTATTTCTTCTTTAGGTCCATAAGATTCTTTTGTTACTTATAGGACGCATTCCCCTTTTGAACATTTTTTTATTGAATTTGCTTAATTATCAACAAAAAAAAAAAAAAGAAGAAAAAAAAGAGCCTAAACCTTGGTGGCATAGTCATATACACCTCTTCCTCCAAGTCATCATGACGGAAAGCATTCTTTACATCCAGCTGATGTAAAGGCCAATTCGAATTAGTTGTTAAAGAAAGGACACGTATAGAGTTCATCTTGGCTACTGGAGCAAATGTTTTCAAATAATTAATCCCATAGGTTTAAGTGAAGCCTTTTCAACTAATAGGGCTTTATGTCTCTCAATTGTTCCGTCTGTATGATACTTTATTGTGTAGACCCATTTGCAGCCTACTGGTTTCTTACCCTTAGGTAATGGAACAATATCCCAAGTACCACTCTTCTCAAGGGCTTTCATCTCTTCAAGCATGGCTTCCTTCTGAGAGCATCTGAAACACTAGACTGAATAGATACAGAGGAGATACACTAAGTGAACGCACGATATGTTAGAGATAAGGCATCATAGGTTACAAACTGAGATATATGATGTTTTATACAACTATGAACACCATTACGATAGACATCAAGATCAACAGGAATAGTATTGGGAAAAGAATTAGGAGTATCAATGTCAACTAAGGAATTACCTGGATTGAGGGAGACTTCTTAGTCCTGGGGTGAGTCAATGACTTATTTTGCTCTCCTAGTGTAGACAATTGGCTGCTTTCCTTGCTGTAAATCATTAGTGCTAGAAGGACCAGACATTGGCACATCAGTGACAATCTCCCCCTGAATGGGAACAAGCAAAGGAATGGGGCATTCCCTCTGAATGGACAACGGATTCTCTACCTATGTAGTAGTCTCCCCCTGTCGAGAATCCCAAACCGTGGAAAAAAAAAAGGAATAGACTCAAAGAATGTAATATCAATGGAGATAAAGCGACGACGAGTGGTATTATAACACTGATACCTTTTCTGAGTGGCGGAATATCCAAGAAATACATATTGGGTTGCCTTAGGGTCCATATTGTCCTTACAATGATGAATGTGAACATAACAAACATAACCAAACACTTTCAGAGGGATAGTGAACAAGGTAGTGTGATGGTGTAAGACAGAGAAGGGGGATTGATAGCCAAAAACCTTAGAAAGCATGCGATTGATAAGGTATGTAGCTATTAAGGTTGCATCAGTATAATAACTTTTAGGCACTCCCATCCCAATTAGAAGAGAATGAGTCCACTCTGTAATATGACGGTGTTTTCTTTCAGTTACACCGTTCTATTGTGGTGTATCAACATAGGAGGTTTGATGGGTAATCCCGTTATCAGAAAAAAATGAGGCAAGACCACCATACATAAACTCTCTTCTATTATCAGATTCAAAGGATTTTGAGGGGACAACCAAACTGAGTACATATCATCTTTTGAAAGGTTTTAAAAATGGAATGAATTTTATCTTTGGTTTTCATAAGATAAAGCCAAGTATATTGACTAAAGTCATCAACGAACACAACAAAGTAACGAAAACCAAGAAACGGAATAGTAGATTCAAGACTCCACACATCAGAATGAACAAGCTACAAAAGAGCTGTATTTATTAATACTAGTAGGATAAGAAACACGACATTGTTTGGAAAGAATTCTTATTTCATAATTTAACTCAAAAGATTCAACCGAAGCAAACTAGGGAAGCATATACTTCAAAACAGGAAGAGGTAAATGACAGAGTCTATTATGCCATTGCATTAACAATTCTTTATTGACGTTACTATTCCTAACACTAACACTGGATTGATTTGCAATATAATATGAAGTTGGCCTCGTGTTTAGTAAATATAAGCCATTGTCCACACGTCCACTTCTAATCGTCTTTCCCGTATCCAAGTCTTTGAAACACATAGTGAGATGGAAAAAATGTTATACTACAATTCAAGCCTTTTGTAATGTGATTGACATAAAGGAGGTTATTAGTAAACTTTAGGACATGAAGAACAAAAGATAAGGTAAGATTAGGAGAGGCAAAAACAGTGCCCTTCCTCGCAATGGAGGTGAAGGTGCTATCAACCACTCTAACCTTATCCTTACCAAAACATAAACTGTATAAAGAAAAATTAGATGCCATACTAGTCATGTGATCAGTGGCTCTTGAATCAATGATCCAAGGTGGCCCACCAGATAATGTGGAAACCTGATGCACCGAATAAGAGGTACTTGTTTGAGTGAAGTTAGAGGTGTGAATGGAGGCATTTTTGAGCTAGTAGATGTTGAAGAGCATTAAGTTCAGCCTCGGACAAAGAACTCAGTGGCCCTAAGGAGGCATGACTAGTAGAAATAGTCTCACGCTTTACAGTATATACCGTAGATGACCCCCTAAATAGACCAGGCCTAGCATTCGCATGTGCAGGAGTTAGAGTAGGGCGACCGTGTAGATTCCAGCATGTTTCCCTAGTGTGGTGCACATGCCTATAGTGATCACACCTCAACTTGCTCTTGTCATCCTGCTTCCCTCCTTTTGGAGGATTGGGCTTGTTCCATTGTTGTGTGGCAAGAGTAGACCTTACAGACAATGCTACTTCTAACTTAGGCTTTGTGTATTCTGGTGCAGACATAGGCTTCATTCAACTCTCCTCAGCCTGGATATATGAAAACACATTTCTAACAGAAGTAGGGGTTGGATACCCGCCTAACACTTGTACCCTAGCATACTCATATCTCGATGCGGACCACCCAAGAACTCATAGATTCGATTCTTTTCTACCATAACACAAAATGCTTTAACATTAGCTGCATACACAGGTATGTAATATTGGTAGTGATCTAACTTTTCCCATTTACTACGTATAGTGTGGTAATATGCAGCAAAAGTTTGGTCTTATTGCTTGAATCTTGATATCTGTTGTTAGAGTTCTTATAATTTTGCAAAATTACCAACCAAGGAATACGTCTCTTCTACAGCCTAACATAGCTCTTTAGGGCTACAACATGGGTGGGTTGGGCGGGTTTAAGGTATAACTTGAGCCCAACCCACATATAAAATGCTCAACCCAAGCCCAACCCTAACCCTATCCTCAACCTTAACTACTCAACCAGAGCCCAACCTATCCTTCTACTTTTAAATTCGGGCTTACAATTTGGGCTTATATTTCGTGTTAAAACTTTGGATTAATTCAGGTTACGCATATGGCTAATCTTCACATTAAAAATTTAATATGATCTTGAATTAGTTTTAGATTAAATTTCTCTTAAACAAGAAAAAGTTCAAAGACTTTTTGTAGATTTTTAATAAATTACAAACAATAAGTTAAGATTTAACAAAGGAAGTTGAAAAGAAAAAATGTAATCATAGTTTAAATAATATGTATAATGTATTTTAAAGTAAATATATATATAAAAATAATATTTGGGTTCGGGTTGGCTCGGGTTGCTAGCACTTCAATTCAAGCCCAACCCTAATTCAATTCAGGTTGAGATTTTTTAACCCAAGCCCAACCCTAATTGTAAAAATGATTACCCAAGCCTGCAAAAAATCGGGCTGGGCTCGGGTTTTCCAACCCAAGTTGTACCCTTATAACTCTTTAGCTGTTTTCATAAATAGAAACTTTGCTGATTTGTGGCTGCATTGACTGCAACAACCATGCCATAACTAGTGCATTATTTTCACTCCACTCTTTGAATTCAGGATCACTATTGGATGGATACATGACAGTCCCTTCAATATGGTTGATCATCCTACGACCAGTGATATACATACGAGCAAATTGAGCCCACTCCGTATAATTCGTTTTATCTAGCCTAATAGTCGTAATACAAAGGCCTAGATGGTGATCACCACTACTTTCTAATATTCGAGAAATCATTAAACGCATCTTTTATTACCCTTATTCCAAAGAAGGGCGGCGACACTTCTGATATTAAGGACTGTCAGCCAATAAGCTTAGTGGGATGTATGTATAAGGTGATTGCCAAGGTTCTTATTCTTATGATGAATAACGTATAGGATGGAGTTATTTTGGAGTCCCAGAATGCTTTTGTTAAAGGACAATAGAATTTGGATTCTGTTTTGATAGCAAGAGAATGTGTTAACTCCAGGTTGAAGATTAGATCCCTCGCATCTTATGCAAACTTGATGTTGAGAAAGCTTATGATCACGTCAATTGGAAGTTCTTCCTTTACTTGCTTTAGAGAATGGGGTTTGGGGATAGGTGGAGGAAATGGATCGAAACATGCATTTCGTTCGTCATGTTCTCTGTTCTTGCGAACGGATCTCCTGCTGGTAGGGGTGATCACAGATTGGATCGGTTCGGTTTGGGGTAAAGTTCAAGCCGAACCAGACCCCACGAATTGGAGAAATTTGAAACCGAACCGATCCGTGGGGACCTTCAATCCGAACCAACCGATCCTTGAAATAATGGATCGGATTGGATTGGTTTGGGCAGATTGGGCTTTTCAAATAGCCCAATATAGTTGCACTTTATGCCCATTAAAATCTCAAATTAGTAATTAAAAACTAGTAATTAAAACTAGAAAAATAAAATAGATTTGTAAATCATATATCAGGTAACATGCTAACAGTAATTGCAATAAAATTTGTAAATCATGTACCAAATAACATCAATAGATTTGTAAATTATATACTTAATAATAGGCAATATAAATTATCCAAATAGAATAATGAATAAAAAAATAAAAATACAGTAAGTATATTCAATATTGTGTATATATATATATATATATATATATATATATATATAATATAAATATATATTTAGGCAACAGTTCGGATCTGTTCAGATTGGTTTTTTCAGGGCACAATCTGTTAACCGAACCGCAAATAGTAGATTGCTATTTTTCTAAACCATCACCGAACTTTGAGATTTGAAAACCGAACCAAACCATATGGATTGGATTGGTTCGGACCGGATTGATGGATTATTTGCTCACCCCGAATTATTGGCTTCTTTTTGAGCTCTCGAGGTTTGACATAGGGAAACCCCTTGTCATCTTTTTCATTCCTTATAGTCATGAAGGGTTTGAGTTGACTAATGAAGAAAGCAGAGGATCTGGGTTCGGAATTGGTAGAGATGTAGCTCATCAGATGGAGATCACCCATCTGTTATTTGCCGATGATACCTTGGTTTTTTGTGACGCTGATGTATCCCAACTTAGATATTTGAGATGCATTCTAGTGTGTTTCCAGTTGGTCTCTTGGCTAAAGATCAATGTTGGTAAGACTGTACTTGTCCTGGTAGGAGATGTTCTAGATATTTCCTCCTTAGCTGCAGTTCTTGGGTGTGGGGTGGGTGATTTTTGATAAGCGCCGAATATTGCATATTCACGCGCCCTTAGTTGCATTAGTTAAGTCTATTATTTGATTATTCTATGTAGATTTTCTTCATTTGCATGTTTTTATATATTTTCAGGTTCATTGGCCAAAAAGGAGCAAAAATGATGTTTTGTTCAATCTTTGAATAACAATGTGTTCAAGGTTAAAGTTCTGGCAGCAGTGGAGGTTAACTTTGCTCACCATATTTGGCCTACCAAACTCAAGAACTAGACTTCCATTAAAACATGGCGTATTTAGAGCTTTAAATTTGCTTTCCAAATCTTCAAATGGTTTGTCATTTGGAGTTCGGGACAAAAAGTTATGGCTATTTTACCAAAGTAGTGCAAAGCAGGTCAAGAGAAAGGAGCATTCTGCCCAAACTTCGAGCGCTCGAAGGGCTTAGTTCGAGCGCTCGAACTTTGAGCAGAATGCTCTCCGGGATCCATCACTTCAGCCCACTTGCTCCTTGATTCCCTCATTTCTGATTTCCATCTTTATGATTTGGTTTGAGATGTCTTTTGATGGGGAGTTGAGCCTTGTTTGGTGGAGAGGATGTCTACAAGGTGAAGGGAACCACATAACAAAATCATATCTCATTCTTGTAAGATTTTTAGAGAGAGAAAGAGGAGGAGAAGATAGAGTTCTTGTGGCCAAGAATAGGGAGCTCGAAAATGAAGGGATCTTCCAAGCTTCTTCCTTCTTCTAGGGCTTCCATGGGTAACTAACTCTTCCTCTAGGGAGGTGATGAAGCCCATCCCTTGTAATCATGATCTAGTATAGCTCTATTTTGGGGATTATAATGTATTTTCTATGGTCTTTTCATAACCAAGAGCACTTCATTTGTTGTAATGAATGTTGATATTAGTATGGATGATTTCTTTAAGTTGATTATCTTGTTTTAGATGATGTCTTGTATTAATCATATTGCTTGAGTTTTCATAGTGAGAATGGAGACAAGGTTATGCAATGGTTTAATGGCATGTTGATAAGTACTTTGGTAGATCATTGCTTAGGTGATGCCTTTGATGGTTTATGCTTATTTTTTACCTTCATGTGCTTCATCATTTTATCTAGGGCTTGATAATCTTTCATTCAAGTAAATGTGGTTAAGCTACACCTTAGTTAGGTAGTCTAAACATGTTCACCTTTGATGGATCACGCTTGCTTGAGATTTAATGTACTTCTTGAGGATATTATAGGAACCAAGTGTTGTTATGTATCATGACCATAATATATGTTGTTTTTCCTTTAAATTAATCCTAACCTAGCATGTGTATAGGGATGGAGCCGGATTCACTTCCCTAGTCCTCTTTACTTGTATTTCATCTCCTTTAAATTCTTGCAAGCTTTTAATTTATGCACCTTAATTTCATAGGTTAAGTGACAACCAACAAATCCTCTATGAACACCCCATATCATTCTAAAAAGACTCTAGACACTTAGGTTGCCATAGATTAGCGCAGTCCCAGTGGTTTGACTTACCCGACCAATAGCCCTATTTTACAATGATTCGTGCTATTACGAAGGTTGATTTATTATAGATTAATTTTTGGCGCCGTTGCCAGGGACTGCAAACGGTTTAGCAACCGAAGTTTTAGGGTTAATTTTAGTGTGATTGTTATTATCATAAATTGTGAATATTTCTTGTGTAGTTTGACCATCTTGTGTGGTAAGTGAGATTCTAGGGACTCGAAGCTCGCCGAGGGAAAGCTAGCTAATTTGTAAGTCTAGAGGACCCTAGGTAAGTCTCCTGACCTTCTAGTTTCGACATTGTGAATATTGTGCATGTGTTAAACTTAGTGATAATTTAGTTTTAAAGCCCTTGTTGAGGCTATTATCTTGTTTAAATTTCGTGTACAAGCATCGGTCCTTGTCGTGGCCATTTAAATTCTGTCTTGATAATTGAGGAGAATGGGAACATCGTATGTGGAGTTGTGAATCATGAATAGTTACGTTGATAGCATTATATATTGTTGATGTTTGGCCGTAGATCACTCTCCCTACCAACTCTTGACTCACCAGTTGACATAAATTCACTTGAAAGAACTCTTAGACGAAACCTTAGGGAATCTTCTAGCGTAAGAGAACTTGAAACTGAATTTAACACAATGGCTGAAAATGTAGGAGATGTCAGAAATGAGGGAATTAATAATGATAGGGCCGAAATTCCAAATGTAGAGCCAATGACTCTCACAGACCATTTCATTCCTATTGCCTATGCTTCACCTTCATGCATAGTGATGCCAAACATCGATGCGGCTCAATATGAGATCAAATCAAGTACCATTCAAATGCTTCCATCTTTCCATGGCCTTGATAATGAAGATCCGTATAAGCATCTTGATGAATTCCTTGAAATCTGTTCAACCATCCGGTTGAGAGGTTTCCCTGAGAATGCACTCCATCTGCATCTTTTCCCATTTTATTTAAAAGATAGGGCAAAGTATTGGTTGAACTCACTCACTCCAAATTCCATCACTTATTGGGCTCAATTACAGCAAGAATTCCTTAAGAAGTATTATCCGGTGAATAAAACCAACCAAATGAGGCGTTCTATTCTTAGCTTTTCTCAAATGGATGGAGAACAACTCTACGAGACTTGGGAAAGGCTACAAGATCTTTTTAGAAAATGTCCGCATCATTTGATTCCAAAATGGCAATTATTGCAAACTTTCTATATTGGCTTGACCGAACCCCATAGATTCATGGTTGACTCTTCTTGTGGTGGGATGTTCATGTCCAAGAATGCGGATGAGGCTTGGACCCTACTAGAGAATTTAAGCGAAAATTCACTTCAACATAATTCTCGTAGGGCTCCGACCTCAACCAATGCAAAGAACACCAACCCTTGTCAACCAAAATCAATAAGGGAGGAATCATCTCAAGTGGATGCCATAGCTTATAAATTCTATCAATTGACGGCACCACATATCTCTCCTTCATTGTCTCAAAATTCGGCAAGTTCGGTATGCTCATCATGTACTAGTCCATTCCATCTCACGGAAGATTGCCCCACACCGGAGCAATTTTCCAATCCAAATCAAGAGTAAGCTAATGCCATGTTCTCAAGATCCGGGAATAATCCCTATTCCAATACCTACAATCCGAGATGGCGAGATCACCCGAATTTCTCATGGAGGCAACAAGCCCCACAAAATTCCCAATTCTAAAATCAAGGGCATCAAAATCAGCCCCCTCCTCAATTTCAAAATAGGCAATTTCCAACCTCTTCAAGCTACCATCCTCCGTATAATCCAAATGTCTTTAATCAACCTCCGGTGTACCCAACTGATGAAATTGTGGCTGCAAATAAGCAAATGATAGAGTCATTAAACAAGCAAATTATGGATTCCAACAAGTAACTCTTGACATCTTTACAGCCTACTCTTCAAATGGTTCACTCTCATACTCAATCTATAGCTAAACTCAAAAATCAAGTGGGCCAAATAGCTAACTCTGTGAACCAATTACTTCAAAAGGACAAAGGCAAGCTTCTCGCTTAACCATTCGAAAATCCTAGAGGGATGCATGCGATTGATGAAATCCCTCCATCGAGTGGGCCGAGTCATGAGTATGTTCAAGCAATCACCACCCTTAGGAGTGGTAGAGTGGTTAACAACAAGGTTGATGGAGACAAAAATGAAAAAGAACCTCCTTTGAAAAATCCAAATTCAAGCTTTTCCAATCAAATTCCAAGCTCTTCTCGTCCAAATACCATTCACGGCAATCCCACACATGTTAACCCGAATGTGGAAATTACTTATGAGCCAAAAGCTCCGTTTCCTTAACGTCTTCAAGAGTCAACACATATTAGGAACAAGAATTATAAAATTCAAGACATGTGGGAAGTTTTCAAGCAAGTGAAGATCAATTTGCCCCTCTTGGATGCTATTAAGCAAATCCCTCCCTATGCAAAATTTCTCAAAGACTTGTGCACTCAAAAGCGCACTTCTAAAAATCATTTGCCAAAGAAAGTGAGGTTAACTGAAAATATTAGTGCTATCATTCAGCACAGCACTCCTCCAAAGTGTAAGGATTTGGGTGCCCCTACAATCTCTTGTGTCATTAGTGACAACAAAATTGAGAGGGCCCTCATTGACTTAAGAGCTAGTGTGAATTTAATTCCATACTCAGTTTACCTACAGCTTGGCCTGGGAGATTTAAAGCCGACTTCCATGGTTTTGCAACTTGCCGATAGATCGGTCAAGCATCCATGAGGCATTCTTGAGGATGTTATCATCCAAGTGGACAAATTCTACTTCCCGATAGACTTTGTGGTTCTTGACACGGAACCAGTCCACGATCCAAAAAAGCATATTCCCGTGATCCTTGGTAGGCCATTCTTAGCTACGGCTAATGCATCAATTAATTGCCGAACCGGGGTGATGGACATTGCTTTTGGAAACATGCAAGTCAAACTCCATATCTTTCATGCAACTCGATATCCTTCCAATGAGGATAATTGTTTCCTTGTTGATGTCATTGATGAAGTGGTCGAAGAATCTCTCCCCTTCATTCTAAGCAAGGACCGTCTTGAAACTTGCATGTCTCATTTCGACTTCTCAAACTTTGACATTGATCAATCTATCCAAGAAGTTAATTCTCTACTTGATGTTGTCGCTATCATGGACATTCCCCCTTGGAAAATTCCAAAAGAGCCGCTTCCTCAGCTTTCCACCATTCCTCCGGTTCCATCTTTGAAATCTCCACCACTACTTGAGCTTAAGCCGCTCCCGGCCCATTTCAAATCAAACTCTCCCAGTCATTATTGCATCGGACCTTCTAAAGGACCAAGAAACCAACCTTTTAGCAGTGCTATAAGAGCATAAAGAAGCTATTGGTGGGCAGTGGCTGACTTGAAAGGAATTGACCCCTCCATTTGTATGCACCGCATTCATATGGAGGAGGACGCAAAGCCTACTAGAGAGGTTCAGCGCCGGTTAAATCCTAACATGAAGGAAGTGGTAATGAAGGAAGTGATAAAATTG